CATGACTTTCATAATGAATGAAAGGCTCATTATTATGCGTGTCTTTGTCTCTCTCAGGTGAGAATCACCTACTTATACATGATGAGGGTTGGCCTGTTCACTCCCATTCGCATATTGCCTTGGCAAACAAAAAAACGTTTTTCACAGTATAATCCAATTCAGAGTTTTATGTGAAAGATTAGACAGGATGATTTTCAGAACATTGTGAAGAAAAAAACTCTAGGAAACAACATTCATTAGTCAAAAGTCTTGTGGATGCTTATTTTGTATGTGTTTTATGGCCTTATTTCAGAAACTTGCATTTTTTTTTCAATAACCACGCATAAACAATATTCTCTCAAAAATACAAACATGTACATACATGTTGCTCACATATTATGGTAGCCCTGTTTGTGCTGAATATAGTGTAATTTCACCTGTGTCATTAATATGTTTATAAGCAACTGAAAAAAGCCCAAATGTCAGGGCATGTCAAAACATCTCAAGGACCCCAAATACACCTTGGTCCCCAGGGGGTTAAATGCAACACTTGACGGCGTAAAAAGCGTCTAATTTTTCTAGGCTGGATTTGCGTTAACACCTTAAAAGCAAGGCAACTGCATAGATAAAGGTGATAAAACTGAACTGACTGCAGAAGCTCATGAAGAAGAAAGCTTTTCCTCTTCAGAGTTTGTTCTTTTACGTCTCCTCTCAGCTGCAATGAAATGGGTTTAAAGAAGCAAAACAAACAAAAAGATGTTCATTATTGGATTGAATTACTGCTGACTGAACACGGTTTACTAAAGCGTGGCGCGCCACGACAAAATGTATGTTTAGCTTGCGGTCTGAAATGAATGTGATGAGAGGATGACTTGTCACCCTGAAATAATACAAACACTATAAATAAATAAATATATAAAACCTATTTAAATCTAGTCATGTACGTGTTTGGCAGACACTATTACCAGCAACTCAGAGTGCATTTAAAATACCATTTTTTCCAATATACAAGTTGCCGGGAATTGAACACACGACCTTGGGTCCTTGGCATTGCAAGCACCGGTGTTATTGTGTGCAAACAAGGGCAAACTTGTAAACAACACAGTGAGAAAATTGCTCAATAAGTTATTTAAAAAAAACAAAAAACAACCAGAACCATAAATCTTTACATTCCTTAAGATGCTCATCCCTAGTCTAGTTGCCCTAATTTAAGTGTCTAACAACCAGTCTGGTGCGAAGTTTACAAACAGCAATGCACTGGGGAGGATTTTCTGAAATTGAGCATTAGGGCTAAGGTAAAGCTGCCTCTTACACGGATACATGGGCTGAACTCAGTTCTTTATGAATTATCCAGAGAAACTGACATTGCTTTGAAACACATTCTGGCTTTTGGGCACCATCTAGCATTTCAGACCCGAGTTCTCTAGAGAGAGCATCTCCGTACCACCATTGCCTAAAATCCCATCTCCAGACACTTTTCACAGCACAGTCTGATGTGGATGTACTCTACTTCTCCAAAATGAAGAAACATTTACACATTTAACAAATTTACACACAGTCTCGCAACTTTGGGTCCGTAGTGTCCAGCTCTTCAGGGTCTGGCTGGTTTTACAGTTATTCAAGCAGCGTCCAGGAGATGTGCCTTGCAAGTAAAGAGAACAAATTCCAGGCAGGAATCTGGCTGTTTGCCTGGCACAGATAGTCTGATAAGATCCCAGCTACACAGTAGCCTCATTTCTCTACATTTAATATGTGAAATTCCCACAGTGCCTGTCACAGTATTTCCAGACTGTGGAACTGAGGTCTGGTATTGAGTAGGATTCAGAATGGTTGAGGAGGACTAATTGCTTTCATTAGATATTCAGAGACTGTTTCGTGGAGAATTCCTCTATAGCACACTGCGGTCTCTTATAAAATGGGACGCAACCACTTGTGCACACCAAGAGTCCCTTGCCCATTCATTATCAAAGCTCAGAGAGGAACACAATAGAAACTCTACACTTCTCATCTTACTAGAAAGCATCTGCCAAGTTCCTAGAAACAATATGGTGGGTGAAGCAGAGATTTGCTGCTCTAATTAACTAAACAATAAACATGGTAATTTGTTCTACAATGCTTACTAAGCAAACAAGTGCACACACACTTTAGGAAATGTTATTTTGTATTGAGGTAAAGCCATAAATATAATATATAAAGTTAATTTAATTGATGCAACAAAGACGGGTTGTAAAATAAAATGACTAAAATAAAGTAAAATATAATGAAATGGATTTTTTTTAATTCAATTTAAATTAAATCGAGTAGCACATATCACTATTTGGGCAGGGTGTCATTTATTTCCCAGTCTTATTCCCATTCTGGTTAGCAATTATTATGTGACACAGCCCAGTTCAAAATGTGGATTAAAAATGCATTTAAAATGATAAGGTCACATTCATCAGTAAAAAAAAAAAAAAAAAGTCAAAAAACAAATGTGTATGTGTTTGAATTTCATTTCAAAAAGGACAAGTAAATACATTACTCTGCTCACTAGCCAATATCCATTGATTCAGACTTGGGGTGAATGACCTCAATATAGACCGAAAGCTTTTCCGCACGCTATTACAAACATTGCCTCATATAGGACTTGCTAATCAATTCTACAAATAAGTCTCCAACCATGAATCAGGGAATTGTGCTTTTTAAAGCATGCACTGTGATTTAAAATATTTTGATTGTCATCTACTGAGTGCGAAATGCATCTAACAATTGACTGGGCTCAGGAAATATCATAATTACTCCACTCTGAGCTCAGGTTCATAAACGAGAGACACAAAAGGCACATTGAGTCGACAGACTGACAGGGAGAAGCACTAGCACAACTGACTGCAGGCTTACTGGACAACTCTGACACTTGTACCAGCCCTAAAAACAGCATGAACTCCTACACAACCGGTCCACTTCCGTTCCACGAGTCCTTGAGGATGGCATGAGTCTCCCTGTACTGCAGTGCACAAGAATCTGCTTATGTAGGAGTATGACAGCATGCTCTCAAAGGCTTTATTCATGAAGACATTTGCTGAAATGCTAAATTTAAATAGTTTTTCTACAAGCGCCAAGTGTACACATGTGTATTATTGTGTTGAAATGACAATTCTTTGAAAACCAGAGACAAGAATTATTCTGCAGTGCCAAACAACCAGGCATTTCCAAGACTCTCTTAAGTTGTGTGTCAGTGTTTGGGATTGACAACGGTATATTTACTCAAACTGTATTTACCACAATAGCAGACAGAGATGGATCAAGTACTACCTGTATGATCAAGTAGCCAAAGTCAAAGAATCGGATAATGTCTAACCACGATAATGTCAGATTTCAATAGTAAATAGGGTCTCATACAGCACATATCACCTAAACTTATGATTAAATATATTGGGAGTCCCAAGAAGATTGTAAAGTAGTCTATTGGATTGTAAAACAGACAAATTTGACGATTTTTTTTTTTTTTTACAAACTAATGACCGTTAATGATAAATACTATAATAACCTTTTGTCTATAAATAAGAAAAGAAAAATAAAATCAATTGATTTACAAGCATTGTAAATGTTGAGTAAACGTACAGATTTGCCAAATAGTGCACTTAGTGTTATTATTAAATTATTTGTTTATCTAAATATGAAGTTATTAGATGATGACAGCAAAGGTATTTAAAATATAAAAATAGAGGAAAGGAGCATGAACAATTAAATATCCAAAAATCAACAAAAAAATAGAATATTGATGGATACAGATAACAAAAACTCAACCAATTTAAATATATATATATATATATATATAGTTCATCCCTTAAATAAATGTACTGAACAAACGGGACAAGCATATTCTTCTTTAGTATGAATGTAGCCATAGTCACTATATGGAATCAGGACAAGTATGAATTTGTATGATGACCAAACATAAGAAAAATCATACATGATATGAGTATATGAAATACAGTAAAAATACAGTTTCTTTTAGTATTTGACTAGGAGCTCATTCCAAGAGTCATCCTCAAGGACTGTTTAACGGGCTTTGCTTTTGTTAACCACACTGACCTCACACATTCGATGACCACCACATCTGATTTGAGTTTGGAATTCATATTGGACTGCAACACTTACATTTGGGTCAATTTCTTTTTCTTTAATCCAAACGAAACAAGCGCAGAGTGAACCTCAGAAGTTGACATGTGTGATTTCTCTGGTGCAGAGTAAACATCTCTGACTGGCTTATAAATCATAGAACAGTCATCAGAGACAACCCAAATATTTCTGACATTGTAATTTCCTGTGAAGAGGAATGTCTTATCAGTCTCAGACATGATTCCAGCCTCATCGGCCCAGACACTGATGCAACAAACGCACAAAATTACCCCTGAGCGGAAAGATAAACAGGCTTCAGTGAAGTAGAACAAATAAGCTTTATGTGGCTTTAACAGAAAACCAGCATTCAACACAATGAATACTCATAATGCTATTTTTAGGCTGACTCAAATCATCAGTCCAACTCTATTAGAATGCTTGTCATTTAGATGAACAAGATGGTGAAACTTATCAATGGAGATAAATTCTATGCATTGACGACAATCCAGATCAACCAATCCTCCGGTACCTCGTTTGCCACTTTCTTCTCATCAACACTAAACTGTCATTACCATAATAATTCTCTTGAAGAATGTCTCAGCTAGTCAGGGTCACAGTATCATTACATAATCCTTTGCAGCGCAGCTGTTTTCACACCGAAAGATTATGCTAATAGGCTTATAGCTGCATCTGGACCACAGCCGTGAGCATTAAACAAACCTAATCTGCAAAACAATGTGCATTGAACATCATTCCCTCGATTACTGGAATTGACTGGAAAAAAAAAAACAAACAGTGCAAGGGATGTGTGCGTAAAAGCTGATGTGACAAAGTTTGAGAGCTTGAGATTATGGAAGATTGTGGTTAATTATTGATATGAACTGAATAATTAAGTGGGCAAGAGAGCTGCAGCTGGATACCTTTTTGTCCTTGGTGAGATCTTCCTCTTTCTTGGGCGCATCCAGATCAGTGACGCCGCGACTGAACTCGTCCATTGTGCTGTCGGGGAGGGGAAGCTCCTCTGCATCAATGTCCGTCTCATCTAGAGCCGGCTTTTCTGCCCCTGTGAGCTCCCGCTCTTTAGAGAGAGAAACAATTTATCTTACTAAATATTCATTCCAAAGCTTGAAAGCATGATACAGGGATTAAAGAAAAAGCTCACTTAAAAAAAAAAAAAAAATAATTCTCTCATTATTTACACACCTTCATGGCATGCCACTGCAAACTTTTAAAGCATGAGCCTTACTTTTGTTAGGTTTATGGCACGTACAGCCAAGGCAACATTACTCATTTTAATTTAGTTTAACTTGATGTACTAAACAAAACATTTTTTTTTATATAAAACTAATATATTTTTAAAAACAACTATTAAAAATGACAAAAACACACTAACTAAAAGTAAAATGAAAAAAGAAAATATAAAAATAAAAACGGACACAAAATATCCATACAAATATACTAAAATAACACTTGTTTGAAGGGACAAATGTTTTTTAGTGAGAATATCTTAGATTTACAACCTGCCTATCCACACACAGGCATGTACGGAAACCGATATTCTGACTAAACACTGATGTTTTCCCATGTAAGCTGTGGATCCCCCGTGAGGGAGATTGTGTTACTGTTATGGGACCCCATGCATGTTCCGACCCCACCTTCACTCGGCCTGTACAGCAGATCTGTATTTCTGGAAATGAGTAGTTGACATGACATGTCAAGCAGTGACAGCCGTGTCCTGTGGTGTGACATGCTATACTACATCTAAAACTATTTTGAACAACATTCTTGTATAACTATATTTTAAGCATTGCATTTTGAACCGAATATTTATAATTTAGAAAATTGATTTTTAGTCAAAATTAAATAAATACATATTGGTGACCCAAAACATATTTGCATTTAAACATGGTAAAAAGAACTATGAAATCATTACGTAACTTCACTGTCATTAAATTAACATGTAATTTGACGGGATTATAGCTATTTTAGGGTGACAATTTGACCCAGAACATAAACTGTGTATTGTATTACTGAACATAACACGAGAGTTAAAAAAGGAAATAGAACTGTGGTGGGGGGCATTTACCCCACACTGAACTACATGTAATGAGACACAGTCCCTTACAGATCTACAGTGGCATTTCCACTGGTGTGGAAAAAAAGTCATTCTGGACCAGAAAAAAAAAATCTGATGCATGACACAAAACAAAACTAGATCACTCTTATTATGAACCAAGTTATTTACAATGACATTTGGCATTCCGTTGGCAAATCTCATTCATATGTACAGTATATTGCACATCGGCACAAGATAATATATCCAAGATAAAATATTAACTAATTTGATTTTTTGTTAGTGTATTGCTATGAATTTTATTCATTAGATATCTATATAACTAATCACCAAATTTAAAGCCACAAAAAGCAGCTTGTGATGGCATGAAGATCACAAGACTCAAAGTATTATAAACTCCAGCCACTTTATTTTCGCCTCTAACATCTACTGTACATTAAAATAAAATTGAAAAAAAAAAAATGTTTGCTATAAATGATTTGTTGTATCTTAGAAAGCTGCCTTAAAAAAATTCTCTTTCTGAGATTAATACACTTAAACAATTTAAAAATGTTTTTAAAACTCAAAAGACGTAATGCACACCGCTTAATTGTCGGCAGGTTTGGTAGTAATTTGAACAGTTACGGGCTTGTCTGTTCTGAGACCTGTTCTCTTTTTTGTCCTGTGTGTGTTAACACTAGAGCTGTTAAACACAGTGAGTCCCATCCATGTGACACCGCAGTGTGTTTGTGCTGGGGAACCCTGTGCAGATTAGCAGCAGTGCGTGGGTGAGTGGGAGCTCATCTGCATTTGAAAGGAAAACCTGTCCAGAGGGAGCTGTGGGAGGATGATCAGCCTGAACCCATGGCCCATGCACCATGAGATCTGCCCCACAGACACAAGCAATCAGAGGTGCTGTTCCATCCTGCCTATCAAAGCCCTGACACACAAAGATTTCCTCAAACAGTGCAGTGGATTGCACCAAAATACCTCAAACAACTGCGCGGATTGCTGAATGCAAAGTGTGTCACAGATCAGCAGAAACATCACTCATCCATAATGCTCTCACACCAAGTTTAAGGGGCACAAACAGACAGCTAGAGGGAGTCTGAAGAATGGAAGAGGACTACACTGATTTCAAGTAAGAAAATGAAAAGAAACGTGGATCCCATTCATCACAGTACCTGTAACTCCAGAATCTGTGCAAGTCTTGTCAGCGTCACCGTCTTCCTGGCCATCTGCGTTTTGCTGGGTGTGCTGAAGGCTAAGTTTATGACAGACCTCAAAAGCCTGACCCACTGTCCGCACTATCCGCATGGCTTGGCTCTACAGAGAAATCAGGGAGAGCTTAGTATTATTAACTGCACTGAAATCAAAGTTCATGGATGAGCCAAAAGTCGAAACCGAAAATGGTAATCGTCATCATACAGAATTTATAATATTCATTATAAAATGTATGTATGCATACTAAAGAAAATACAAAATAAAATAAATAAACTATGGCAGAATGTGGCACCAATTCACCTGCTCGGGGACTGCAGATGGAAACTAGCTTAAGCTAAATCTGGTGCAAAGCATCTTTAATGTTTTTTTTTTTGCACATTGTCCCTGTTTAAATAAATGAAATGAAAATGGACAATAAACTATGGCAGAATGTGAACAACAGGCACATCCCTGAACATTTGGTAAAATAATAGAATTATCTTCAGGACAGATAGTAGATAGTGGCTTCACATTGACCACTATAGCTAAACTATAACTAAAAAGAATAGCAGAGTCCATATCAAAAATATAACAAAAATGGCAGAGAAACAAACAAGAGAAACAAAATTATTGGAATCACTTTGAGAATATGTTTTTCCCCCCAGCTGATGGATGATAAAAGCAACTCACCCTGCTTTAAAGAGTTTGAGCATGTAAAGAGGCTGACGACATAACTTGCAGCACACGCTTAAAATAAACAGAACAATGTCCCACGTTGGTATGACTGTTGGCATTAATATAGCTGAAGTTAATTATCCTTCTTGGTGTGAACAGGCCTTAAAGGAGAACTCCAGCACAAAATGAACCTTTGGTCTAATTGGTACCTAGTCAATTGTTTTCATGATAATCGAATGTAAAGAGTTGTATCTGTAAAAACTGTTTAGCGTATAATGCTAGTACTGGGGGCATTTACGAAGTAAAAAGAAATCGCTAGTTAATACCACTAACAAGGCTCAAAATAGCCCCACACTAACACAGTAAAATAATGAAGGTCCATACGTGCAAAACAAAGCACTGAGAACTTTGTAAGTGAACAGACCGTTTAATAAGAAGATACTGTATTTGTGTATACAGATAGGAGCCATCTTAGAAAATAGTCTCGATAAGTCGATCCCCAAACGCCGATCATACAGTTCAGAAGTTCGCTGAACTTCATACAGTTCAGCTCACTCAGCACGACGTTCGTGGTTTGACTTGTCGTGATCGTTTTCCAAGATGGCTCCTGTCTGTATACACGAAGTGAGCTGTCTTTATAAAGTATCTTCTTATTAAACTGTCTGTACACTTACAAAGTTCTCAATGCTTCGTTTTGCATGTATGGACCCTCATTATGTTACTGTGTTAGTATGGGGCTATTTTGAGCCTTGTTAGTTGTATAAACTAGCGATTTCATTTTACATAGTAAATGCTCCCATTACTAGCGTTATACGCTAAACAGTTTTTAGAGATAAAACTCTTTACATTCGATTATCATGAAAACAAATCTCAGAGAACGGTTGACTAGGTACCAATGTTTTATTAGACCAAAGATTAATTTTGCGACAGAGTTCTCCTTTAAGTCCCCATTCTGAGTGCACACTTTATGCTAGTTGTGACAATCTATTAAGCGTTTTAATATAATTCAAGGTACACTTAAACACTGGCTCAATCTGCGGAGTCTGACTCAGAGACTATTAAACAAAAAACACCTATTCCACAAAATGCTGAAGATCGGTTAACATTATTTTGATGGATGATGGTGAGAAATGGGATGACAAGATTATTCTGACTACAATGTTTGAATCTGCAGAAAGTAAAATGAGAAATGAGAGCTCATTTTATTGAGAGCATTGAGCACACTTGAGCAGTTGATGTACAATTATTAGAGAAGCTCTGAATGGCCTGGTCTGTAATGAACAGGGATGCCCAGGAGAAATGGACCAGAGAGGGCTTTCAACTCAATCGAGCGACTTCTTTCTAAAGAATCTGTTAAATAAAGGATACTTCTTTCTTGATCGCCTTTCTCCAAAGCCAAACTTCTGCTCTATAATCAATAGCCATTGTGCAAACCCCACATTATCATGACGAAAGGAACAATATTGAGTCCATGTGTCAAGCTTTCATAATAACAATCTTCCTAGTTTTTAGTATTGTGGCAATGTTGTTACACTGTGCTCATTCTGTATGCTATTTGCAATTTCACATCCAACGAATAATAAGGAATGAATGCAAACTAAGTCAGTTTGAAGATGACTGGAAAGTTGTATTCAGATTAGTTAGTGTCTGTTATGTCTCTCGCAGCCTTTTATGTGAAAGATCTGGTCAGACTTACAAAGCAAACAATGCACAGAATAGTTTCTGTAGGGGAAAAAGTGAAGTTAGTTTTCATACAGTAGGTCTTAACTTTACTGAAGTGTAAATAGGGTACAATGTACACAAACTACAACAAAACATGTTTGTTAATTTTCCAGAAAAATTGTAGAAAAATTGTATTTCATATTCGCAATTCTACTGTTATATAATGTCAAATACATGCTTTTTACACATAAAAACTATTAATTATCTTAGAATTTATAGTGAAAAACTTACTTCCAGAAGTCTATGAATGACATCATATTTTATTTAAAAGAGAATTTTTTTTTTTTAAAAAAGGTAACAAAACAACCTAAAAGTAGATTGATATCTTAACATTATATTACATGAGAAAATACAGTTCTATGATTTACAATTTACAGGCACCAATAATATGCCATCCCGTAAAGCAGAAACATTGTTACTATTTTTTTAAGTTGAATTTGACAACCACAGCTGCAGTTGTTTTTACTGTACATTTAACAGCATATTTTTTACAGTGCATGAGAAAAAAAGATGTGGTGACCTACGGTATGTCATAATGTATTTGTCCATTTCAGTACGCATATGCCTTACATATACTTGAAGTATTTGCAAACTTCTCTCAAGGCCCTTATTAATCAGAGATCCTTGTGTATACAAATTTATGTGATAATGTGATGTGATATTGTGACAACTAGCTCCTAGCATGAATTCCTCTATATAGTTATAGACTGTGTAGGCACCGGTAATGGAGAAAAACCCCAAAAAAACCCAAAAAACTAATTTCACCCCTCTAAAAAATCTTATTTTGATTCTCATGACATTGTAGATTAATTGCCAATATTAAAAATAAATATTTAAACCAGTCAAGCAGATAAAACCAGATTTAGATTCAAATCCTTCTCAGAAGTGGTGGGCGTCTCTTTAAACGGTTATTTAGCTTTTAGATTTGCCACTGATTCATATCCAGTGCAGAAGCTTGAAAGGGATCAGAATTCGACAGCTTTAAGAACTAAAAGCAAAGCCTGTCAGTATATCATCTACACGCTCCGCTGATAAATCATCGTTCTGCTCTGCATGCTAGACCGAGTGAGAAGAAAATATAGCCATTCTGAAAAGTGCACTTCAGTTTCATGGCCAAGGGCTGCTGTTCCTTTTTTTTGTATGATGTTTTTTTTTTTTTCAAATATATGCCCTGAAGTAAAGTACTTGTGCTGAAAAGAGAAGGAACAGGCAGTTGCTTTCATTCACTTGGAGCCTCAATGACAGGATTCTATCGTCTATGGAAACCATCAGCACTCAATGTCCTGACAAGAGAGGCCTACCTTTTTCTTTGATTTAAAGACGTTACATCGAAACACATTGCTCTGTCCATCTCTTGCAATGTAACTGAAGATCTTCAAATCTTGAGAGTCGTGCGATACGTAGAATATCCTGTAAAAAAACAACAACAAAAAAGGAAGATATTCAGACACATTAAACCGTGTAAGAAATCAATAAAAACCGAGGCAATTACATTTATCATTAACTTGTTAGATACTTGGCAGAATTACAAACGACAGTACATTCAAGTGGAGCAAAAATAGATAAAAGGAAAAAAGTATGAACAGGGACATTTCTAGGACAAGCTTTTATTCCTGCATTTGGTTCATTTTTGTTGTTATATTTTGGTTCAATTACACCACAGTGCTCAGCACTTTTATCAATAATCCATTCATGTTGTGTGGAAAGGACCTTTATGAATGACCTTTGGCTGTGTATTTTGGTACGCATCTAAACAAGAATGTTATTAGTATGGCAAACAAAGCAGCAACAACATGAATCACAATCACAAGCACATTCAATTCTATTGTAGCATTGTGTGAGTGCATTTACCCTAAAGCAAACAGGACTAGCAATGAACAAGTAGCAGCAATGCAGATCAGAGTAGTGTAAATACTAAATAAACCAAAAGATAAATAATTGACGTCATGCAAATCTGGACCAATTTCCTCCACACGACAACAGAGGACTTTTCTTGCTTCATAAAAAAGAAAATGCAGCTGTCATAAGGCATTGAGGAAAATCCTGAGCAGAAAACTCTGAACGCTTTGGTCGCAGATGAACAACACGCATTGATGTCAATTGCAACTTTTTTCAAGCACATCCACAGAGAACCTCAAAAGTAAAACAGCCAAAGAAATTATAGACAAATAGCTAGATCGCTAAACAACATCACCAAGAAAAAGCAAGCTTGGTCTGTCCCGGCACCTTGCTTTTTGCAATTCATTGAATAAACCTGTATAGACCAGGGAGAACCACTGACACGTAATGGGTTTTATACTGTACAAACTCTATATTCTATCCCCTTACACTAACCCTAAACTATACCATCACAGAAAACTTCCTGTATTTTGATACCAAAAAAAAAAAAAAAAAAAACCCACAACCACCTTTAATTAATTATTTTTATACCAGATTTACCAATGAGGGAGGTCCAAAATATAGTTAGGTGCACGCACGTACGCACAATCTCAGATTGCTTCGATGGGTTTATCAGAGTGAATAAATGGCAGCAGGAAGCAGATATGCCTAAATCATCACACTATGGGTTTGAAAGAAAGTTGATAGAATGAGGAGTCTTAGGAGACTATCTTATATATATATGTAGGTCATGCAGCGTATCGTACAATATCTGCAAAGCAGTCGGGCAGAAAAAGTTTGTCCACTTCCGTGTGTACATTATAAATACCTTGTCTGGTATTTTTAAATATCTGAAATGGACTATATAAATGATGAATTTTACTTTAATTACCAAAGTACCTTATTTTTAGCAAAAGAATGTGTGTCTAGTTTTAAACTTGACACCATCTTTAAAACAGTTCTCATCGAGATGATAAAAAACACAGATGTGTGACACTGGACACTTGTGTAAATAGTTCTGCAGACAAAGAATGTGTGAGAGAGGATACATATACAGATGTTTTCTATGTGGCTTGTATGAATGGATACTAGATACAGATGTTTTCTTGGTGGTGTGTAGAATGATGAAAATGTAGTTATATCCTCTTTGACGTCATAGTTCCCCACTTTAAAAAATGAATCGTTTGCTGAGCCTGGTGTCAATAACAGCTTTTATTGGACTAACAAGGACGTTTTCAGTTCTGAAACTTACAGGATAATATGATGAACTCTTAGATGTCAAAACCTCAAGGAAGAGAGACCCAGTTTCAAATCCAATGTGAGACACCGATGTGTCCCTGAGCAAGACACTTAACCCCTAGTTGCTCCAGAGGTGTGCGACCTCTGACATATATAGCAATTGTAATTCGCTTTGGATAAAAGCGTCAGCTAAAAGTATGAATGTAAATTTATTTATTATCGCTTTAGTCTTCAATTGGACCATTGTACTTCATATGGACTTCATATGGATCCAAAACGTATGGGTTTGTGATCTAAATTCAATTGTAAATTTATATAAATATACTTTTTGTATAATAATATAGAAATGTTTTAATTTGTTAAATATAATTGTTTCTATGGAAATTGCCACTTATTAAGCACCTTGAGGGTTTTTCGGCAATTGTCCATCACATCTTTTGTGAAACATATTACACTGTTTTTAATCTTTTTTGTTGTGAAAATTAAATAAATAAAAAATAAATAAATAAAACACACACACTACTGAGAATGACAGCATGTTACAAGTCAGATACATGCAGTGACTCTAAAGGGATCGACTAAACCCTGTAAGAGAGATGTACTAGACAACAATTATCTGAACTACATTAACCCAGCAGTCCACTCAGGGATATATTCTGACGCACAGAGACAGATGGGAGAAGAGAAACTCCGATCATTAATTGAATTCTCTTTGCTGTTGACACTTCAGGGAAACATGCTGCATCAGCGATTTGCACAGATGACACATGCTGTTTAGGAGCTTTTTTTTTTTTTTTTAACCCCCTCCACTTTAATTTATCAAATCTGAAAGCAAAACGAGGAGCTGGAATATCTGATGAGTATAAGTAACGCACACTACTTCACTCCTCAAAATAGAAAGAAAGTGATTTTACTACACAGCCCTGTAGCCTTATTTAACTGGTTGTTCTGCTTAAGACATATTTTAAGAATATAACGAGCATATTATACTAGAAGGTAAAGGGCTGCTTTGCTCATCTCTCAGACGTCAATTACTAATGTCATTTCTATATTAGGCAAGCACATATTTAACAGGCAGAAAAGTGATGGTCCATTAGCATTCAATTCTCAAAGCATTCATCCTGATTCAATGAAAAATCAATAGTGACAAAGTACTATAACATTTGGGGACACCTGGCTTAGCTAAAAAGTGTTTTTCAAGGTCGCTACAAGTCATATGTAGGAAGTTGTACATTTGCGCATTTCTTGCAAGGTGGGCATCACAATTATTAACTATGTTAAATATTAAACTTATTAAATATACTGATAATTCCTTATTCAGTATTTGAAGGCTGATATCTAGGGATCGACCGATATGGATTTTTTAGTGTCGACACCGATACCGATTTTTTCCCCATCAGCCTTAGCCGATGACCTATACGATCTGCCGATTTTCTTGAGCCGATACATTTTTCTCCCTCAAAGCAAATATCGGCCCGATACATCGGCCGGCCGATATATCGGTCGATCACGATCACCACAGATAACCGATATATTTGCCCGATAAATCTGAATACAATTTTTTATATAATTTTTTACATTACAAACACAATAGTCTCACCATTAAATCCATGTCCCAAGCACACAATTATAATGATGATCTCATTATAATTTTTGTAGCCTATATAACAGACTTGCATGTTGCATTTACTGTATTTCTCTTTTTGAAGCGATTTAAATCATATTTCAAGCAATTCAAAAACGTCATGGAAAAAAGTGTGCCTATAAAGTGTCTCAGCTGAAGGAAATACATTATGTATCTGCTTTTTATAACATCAACCACATTTTTCTTAAGATAACAATAAAAATGAACATGGTGGCTGATATAAAAACTTTTCCATGCAACTCATCCTGCACATGCTACAGACATGAATGATACTTCAAATTACTGGATGACAAAACAAACAAAAACCATAGACGTGCATTGAAAAGTGGATCAAAGTAATATTATAAGAACCAGACTATCCCAGACTTGGGGTGGGCTATTTTGGCTTGGGCCAGAACGCTATCAAGCAACCATCCAGAACACAAACCATCATACATTGCTATAGAAACCACCCAGGCAACCATAGAACCACCCAGAACACCTTAGCAATTACACAACCAACCCTAGAAACCATTCACAATACCTTCTAAAAACACAATTGCAGTTAGCCACAACAACATCAGAGCAACCACCTAATGTAACCAACCAAAATACCCAAAATTTCCAAACTCCACTGCCCCTCTGGTGAATTTTTTTATGTGATTTTTTACACAGGCAAGTGCAGTCATGAGAACAGAATGAGCCATGAATTTCTCTGCACTTTACAACTGAATTATTGATGTCTCTTATTATATTCCTGTTAATAACAGCAGGCCAGTTCTCCCTGCTCCTGGTGCCAAGTTTGTGCTCTGGGCGACAATAAAGACACACAAATGTCACCATTGCTCTTCAGAAGGGGGGCAACAGCACACCTTTAGAGCGGACACAGCCCCAGTCCCATCATCTCAAGAGAGTCCCATACCCACATGATTCAGTCTCTTCAGTTTGCAATCACACACTTTCAAATGCCTCCTGGGGTTGCTGCCCCTTGTTTAGCAGGCTTCTGGAAAGCAAAATCATTGTAATCACTTAACTACACTCAAATTATATAGTCAAACTCTATTTTCCTGTAAATGATTTAGGATGCGACTGTTTATCCATCCATTGTACTCAACTAGCTCAAAATGTTTCAAAACGAAATGCCTCGATTCAAGAGGGCCACTGGACCCCAATCGTTTAGGACTTCATGTCTGCCAGATAAAAATAAATATTGTCCTGACATGTCAGCTGCCTCATCCAATGAGTCAGGGGGATTTCATGGGCATGTTGTCAAGTTCAAGCGGCAAATTTCAGGGAAGATGATTAATGTGTTTTGATTAGGCTTTCATGCGGTTTAGCGTTTGCAGAGGACACATGGACAAACAGGATTTTTAACTGCACATGTATACCGTTACCATCAACAGCAGTTGCAAAAAACAACTGCGTTGCTAAAAGGATTTGCAAAGAACAAACACTTCTTAGCACCTTCTCCTGAAGCTTATTGGCTGCCGCTTTAATTTCCACACAGTATTTGCATTTTATTTGCATCATTTCATTTTCACAACCGCAAGCTGTGTGTCCTTTTGCCACACACTGACCTAACACAATTTGTACCGTGACTTTCTTCAGGGTTTTCTTCAGTTAATATGTGAAGTTACACTATTTAAGTATCTCTAAAATGTTACCATGT